CCTTGAAAAAACGAGATAAAACAAATAGCTCTCGAAGACAATTTCAAGAGGCTGTACGTGCATGAACACGCATGCACAGTCGTGGAAAGGCTGCGTAATCCAGAACAGGTAGGCTTTCCACCAATCACTATCATGTCTGACATTTTGATGGTATGTGAATTAATACAGTATCCATTATTCTTTCTCGGGAGCTTGATGCATCTCTGGACCTAATACTGTTCCAGTGAACGATGATTTTCATTCTGACGATCTTCTGAATATAAAGTGATGAGCAAGGAATCATGAGTGAAATTTCTTATCGAATATGCATATCCGCTTAGCATCAAAGAAATTTTCTCTATTCACAATGTGATTGAGTGTGCTAACTATTCAGCAAAGAGATACCGCACGGGGTTGTCGCTTTGGTGTGTCAAGCTTCTCCGAGCTCTACACATCCTGCGCAGAGCCAAGACCGTTAACGCAGTGCACGGCAAGAACTACGGATCTTTTCCTTCACTTGTTGAGTGCCCAATTGATCACATTTATGGGCTTTTTTTCACATTATCTTACCCGGATTTTCGGCAGCTCAAAATTTTACTTGCTATTAAGCAACTGTGTATCCTAGTGATACAAACACGTGAATATTGAAGCTGAATGACATTAGGGTGGGATTTCATCTTAAAAAGATTTGCGAAGATTCGCAGTCGAGATAGCACATTCACCTCATCGCATAATGAACAATGACATTTATTAACTGTATCACTCGTCGTCTCGCTGATCGTCGAGTGACTCGAGCGGACATCAGCAACACTTCCATTTTTTCCTATCGCGTGCAAGAATAGCACAGTGGGTCCTCCTAGCTGTAGGAAATTGTTGTGCATCATTTCTTTTTTCTAGTCTTTTCGTGAAGAAATCGGACCATCGGGTCGGCGGTCTTCCTGTAGGGCGCTTGATATTCCGGGAATCCAATCGGTGACGTCTCTCGTCCGCCAGTTGTCGTTGAAGCGCATCACGTGTCTGGCCCACTTTATTTTCGATAGCCTGGCGTACATCCCTTTCGCGAATTTCCGAAATATGACATTCGTCACATGTGAGAAGTTCACAAATCAATCATCAAGTAAGTTCACGTAAATTCGCTCAATTTCAATGCCAGAGAAGTCGGTGATGAACGCAATGAGCATCGCATTGAGCGAGCCAAGGTGATGCTGATCTAATGACAGTCAGCGGGCGAGAAAAAATTGTTTTCTTATTTGTGTTGCCCAAAACGACGTATTTCTGAATGTTGTGATCTCAGTGAGATGTCTTCATTTTAGATGAACATCGTTAAAAGATCCATAAATTTTCTGTGAAAGCTTACTTATGCTGATTCTCTTCAGGAATTGTATTAGGCACTTGAAAATAGCGATTAATGCACATTGAAACAAATGCTCACTAATCACAAGACCCAGTTCTACCCTGTATCGGCCTATCTTAGCCTAATTTATCTAGGTTCGCGGATTGGTACCGAACTTGACACGAGTATAACCTGAACCCTGATGCGTGAAACCTTCAAAAACAGGCTCAAATACGACAGAGTAATGCTGCGCGAGAGCATCGAAGGTGCAGTGAAAACTAAAGCCCATGGTAATCACGGGTTCAATGCTCAGGTTTTAAGTATCGTTCACATGTCACCACTCTAGTGCTTGTATTTTACACCATAGTCTGCCCTTAGATTGAGAGTTTATACAAGGATAGAGTTTTGAAAGGCTTCCTTGTGTGTTGCAGCAACGAATACGAGATCACGTTGTATCTTTGGAGCTATTAGTGTGGCTTGCACTCGTGTTTATCTGGTCTATTGCTGAAGAAAGTTTTTTTACTAGAGTCTTCCTGTTATTCGAGGACCTGAAAAACAGCAGTTCCAAAGCCAGCTTCGGTTTTGCAAAGGACTTTTTTGTAGAGGAACAACAATAAAGGGGAAATCACGTCCCACACACGGCGCACGTTTCTGTTCGCTTGGGGTCTGTGTTTGCTTTTCCACTGAAATTTCAACGTTGATTCGTGAACCTTCTGATGGTATAAATCGGACCTTTTCCGTTTTGCTCTCCCTGTATCAGTCCCTTAGAGGATCCCAGTTTATGATTCTTTTCAAAACTTTCGATAGTTATTCGACAGCTTGAATCTCGATAATTTGATGACGTAATGTATTTTTATAAAAACGTTTTTGATGTGCAATAACATTGAAAATAAAAACACGATAGCACTTTTCTTGCTGTTCTTTCGTAAAGTTCTCTCTGCTTCAAAAAAAAAAATTCTATGTCTTCTGATATGATAACACAATACGTTTTTTTTTGGATACATCTACTCTTAACTCTTTGGAGACCATGTGCAAGATATCGTAGATAGCCGTGCGATGTCACATCTCATTCAGCTGCTGTGTGACGGCGTCGCACTTCTCCGCTAATTTCTAATGGCGCAAACCACAATGGAAACAAGGTAAATTAATAGGTGAATTTATGTTCTCAAGAAACATAATTACCATGAAATAATTATAAATATAATAGGCTTTTGAAAAAAAAAACTTAAGTAAAGAGAACGTTAAATGATAAAGGATAAAGCTTTTGGCGTTGATCATCCCTGAGGGATGCGCCATACATTTCGCTTCATTAAGTTCCTTGAGCATCGTCTCTGCTTCAGTATTGCTTTTCGAGAATAACATTTCGTGATGGCAAGCGAGTGTGCCGTTGTTCAGTTGACGTATATCGGTCGTCCTGATCTTCGTTTCCTGTACGGCAACTAATGATATTTTGGCGGTGTGTTGCGTCAAGAAATGCTTGAAGACTGGAGTCAGTGGAGAGCGTTCTTGAATTGTACGTGCAGAGTAAAAGACAGCCTCCATGGTGCGTCGTTTGCGTGTTTAACAGATCCGGTTCCAGCGACGTCCTGTAAATCCCCGTGATTTTCTAGCCTCCCACTGCTCACCACCTGACGCCATAGACGGGAGAACCCAGTGTGCAGGGTACTGAGGCTATTCTATTGCTGATTGTGCAGATTGGCTTACTTGGATTCTTGACTTTACCTTGCAATGGTTATTTCAGGTCTTCACGATGTTAATTTCAATAAATTTGCTGCGGATCCTCGCTCGGACTTTCTACCAACTTATTCGGTGATAATGTTAATCCGAATGCAAAGAATAAGTGTAGGAACTTAAAAGTAAACCGACCGCACACGGGTGATGTAGAAGCCAAAATCCTGTTGCTCGCTCATGTGAATCAATCTTATTTTTATTGCTAAAAGGGTAGGCCACTCCATGTCCATATGAAACAAAATGTGATCGACAAACGTAATTCTAAACCAAATACCCCTACGCACTACGCACAGTGCACAGACGCATAAGGAGGAAGACTTCCTTGATGTAAAAGTAAATATCCTTGCACAGAACATGATACCTCAGCGCGCAGTCCTTGAGGTGGTTTGAATTCACCAAAAATCCCAATATGAATGGTGAGAATGAGTACCTCCTGATCACGTATGATCTTGCGCCATACCATGTCTCGATTTCAATGGATCTGAGCGGGCACACACTTCGCCCGTTTAAATTACAGTGGGGCCGCTCTACATATTTAGTAGGTAGAAGAACAGCAAGACGGTAAGTAAAATAGGGCCGATTACTTTACGGTTCAAAACTGTCTTCAATATTCAATTAAATAGATGTTTAGATGCAATAATTTTTTTCTGATTTGATTATGAAAGTGTTGGACTAATCTGATGCAAGTCAGTATGACTTCTATAAGGCTCTGAAGAAGGCAAGACCGCCGAAACGTTAGCCACCGATACGATCTCTATTGTACTATCTTGTATGAGTTAAACGTGTATTAACAACCTCGTGTTTGCTGAACGAAAGAAAGTCACGGAATTTCATTTTCCCTGTTGCGCTGCAGAGAAACGGTCTTTTTAGGATATAAGCACACCACTGAAATCAGCAAACAGTATGCTATCGAAGGTTTTTTGATAGTTCAAATAAAGAATTCTGTCTGACGAAACAAATTAATATGTGAAACATGGGGAATTTGCTTCTGTAACAACATTAGGAAAAGACTTTTCTAAAAAGCGGTGAAGCGGGGATGTAGCCAACAACTTAGGCTTTTGAATGAGTACTAACACTTTTATGAAAAGTTCCTGTACAGCAAATGAGGTCGGATATCTATTTGTCCCCATCTAACCGAAAAGAACCTCAATATTCCTTTAGCTGTCACAACGCACAAAAAAGTCCTTTTCAAAAATTTAGCATACGTTTGAAATCGCTGAGATTTGTGCTATCGAATGGTTGTCTAAAAGGAAAGCTGTGTCCAGCGAAAAATGCTTGAGTTTGAAGTGAAATTTTACTTTTATTGTTACAATGTCATATAAAAGCTGTGTAAGAAATAAAATACATAGTTCAAGTTCTTGAGAATCATGCAAGCGAAAAACTACTAAAATATCTAGAAAGAGCATAAAATGCGTTTTAATATGGTTGCTGATAGGAGAAAAGTGCCACCTCTTGCACAAACAGAAGCGTCAAAATGATAGCTGCTAGTTATAAGCAACGAGCTACATGGAGCGAACTGGAGCGTTGGAGTACCTGAAACTTAGGTGCTTATGCTACGCTTCAACAGAACTAGGCTCCTGAACATTTGGTCCGCTCAACGATATCCATCTGTCAAAAGCTGGTTTTCAAACTTTGGAGCAAGGACATTTGTCCGTCAAACACGCCGGATCTCAACCAATAGATCACTAGTGTGGTCCACACCGGAGGAAAAACACACACAACACCACACCGGTCCACACCGGAGGCTGCTCGCTGCATCAGCATAGAAGCGCTTAAAACGGCTTTTGACAAATGCTGCGGACGAAATTACAGTGGAAACTTGTGTCAGCATTGCTGAAAATTTTTGTAAGCGACTTTGGAAATTTGTTATGAATACTTTTCTATGTTGTTATGACTGCTAATCTGATAAATGTAATTATTCTATATACCTAAGAGAATTGAGTGGTGAACAAAACGCGGCCTCAGGCGGGAATCGAACCCGTGTTTCATCCTATCCGGGGACGCATGCTCTAACCACTACACCACCGAGGCACATTTGCCCGACCACTCATTCTTCAACATCTCAATGTTGGCTATCAGCCACCAAACTTTGACAGGTTTGGTCGGTTATACGATTTCGCTTCATAAACCCAGTTGAGCTGACACCTATTTTAATTACTAATACTCAAAAGTAGTAGTATTTTAATGCATTTCGCATTGTTATGATATTTTCTATATACCTAAGAGAATTGAGTGGTGAGCAAAAACACGGCCTTAGGCGGGAGTCGAACCCGCATTTCATCCTATCCGGGGACGCGTGCTTTAACCACTACACCACCGAGGCACAGTATTAGTAATTAGAATAGCTGTCAGCTCAACTGGGTTTATGAAGCGAAATCGCACACCCGACCAAACCTATCAAAGGTTGGTGGCTGATAGCTAACATTGAGATGTTGAAGAATGAGTGGTAGGGCAAATGTGCCTCGGTGGTGTAGTGGTTAGAGCACGCGTCCCCGGATAGGATGGAACGCGAGTTCGATTCCCGCCTGAGGCCGCGTTTTTGCTTAACACTCAATTTTCTTAGGTATATAAGAAATATCATAGCAATGCAAAATGCCTTGAAGTACTATAAAATCCGCGTAATTATTCTTTCAATCAAATGAATTCATTTGCTTACTCAGTATTTTTTATTGATGAAAAGTCTGGAGAAATCATCCAAACTTCTTGCGCATCCTGTAAAATACGTATATAGTATGTGCAAGGTGGTCCGATGATTTCACTCACACTATTGTCTTGCTCGGTTTTTTGGTTCAAAGCCTAATATTGTCAAAAGGCTTTGGTGTTTCGGATAATGTTCCTCTTACACTTATATACGGCTGTAGTTACAATCCTCGCTATTTCTATGTTTTGGCTTACCACAAAGGCGATTCACAATGGACATCTAATGCGCCGACCGATTACAACAACGTTGCACGTGTGACGGAGTGCGAAAGCCTTCTACTGCCATCCCACCGGTAGGACTTTCTCATTTCGATCATCACCAGAGATGAATACTGGGTCTTCTACAGCAATAACAAGCTCCACACTTACTGACTGCTTCGTGGCGAAGATCTGCCAGCTTAGCCAATGTCCAAGTTCCATGCTCAAAAAATTATATTCTCGCTTTTCTCAAACTGGCAATTTATGCTGTTCTGAGAATTGCCCGAAACAAGCAGGCTATCAGTGCCGACGTTTATGGTGAAAAACTTCAGAAGTGTGTTGCAACAGTGCACGAGAAGTATTCGAAATGACTTATAGTCGACCTCCTGCAAGACAGCGTTGGACCTCACATTGCAAAGTCGTCTCGCCACGTTGTGGAGAAACTGGGCAGCACCACGGCACCGCATCCACGGAATAGCATAGTATTACTCTATCGGTGTGTCATCTCTTTCGTTCTCTAAAAAGCATCTGCGGGAGAAAAAATTTAATGACTACAACCAGTTCAAAAGGCCTTAATGACTTCTCTGATCATCAGCCTCTTTTTTTCTGGGAAAAAGCCATCCAATGTTTGCACAGCAAATGGCTATACATTATTGATCATGATGTTTATTATATTGTTGATTGATTAATTTCTTTACAAATGGAGCAACTGATTCAACAGAAATGTCGAAATATTAAAGAAACCGTAGGACAACCAAGAACATACACATGTACCTTCGTTAATCTACTGATTGGATCTTGAACGCTGATTTAAGTATATTAAATAGAAATCTAGTCTTATTACGTTATATCGAAATACTTTACATAAGTGCTTATTGTTACATTGCTGCTCAACAGTATTTGTTGAGGTTAAAATAAACCGCAAAGTGGTGACGAATCCCTCAGCATGATCATGGATGAACTCGAATCACTTCTGCTTTGCTAAAATCATGAGTTCTTTTATATTTATACTATAAGCTGATTACTAGATTGCATGTGGTTTCTCACAGTCAGATCCATGAAGTACTAATGATCGTAACCTTGATCAAAAACACTTTATTTGTATGGAGCCTCGCAGATTTCATGACTTCAGCGAGTTCTTTGATCATCAACTTTATTCTCCCTGAGGAAAAGTACACTTTTATTGCCCAGTAAATAAATGGTTGCATATCACAGATGGTGATGGTTATTGTGATGTTAATTAATTGATTCTTCGAATAAGTAACAACTGAGTTAACAAAAGTGTCGAAGTGAGAGAAAAATTCTATGATAACCCAACAAATATAGCTTTGGAAACTTTCAGCGCTGACCAAATCCTGAGGGTTACGCCGTGCTTCGACTTCGTCAAACATTGTTTGAAGTGACTTAATGCATTTCTGACTTCCGCAATGACTCGCATGTACTGATGTTCCAAGTCAGAGATGGTTCTCCTCTCAGACAAGTCTGGTACCAATTCACCGACTTCGGATGGATTTAAGACTTAGTGAACCTTGAGCTCAGATTCGAACCATCAACGCGTGTGTGTCGTAAGCCACTGACCAATTCGTCACATGCGAGTGTCAAATGTGCCAATAACAATGTACTTGTCGCCCCAGTAGGGATTTTGGAGCTGAAAAGCTCCACGTGTTAATCTAGAAAACTGCCTATCATTAAATTGCAATAAAAAAATCACTTCCATTATAATAGTAACAGAATCACTAGCTGGCCAGTGGTGGTGATGTGGAATGTGCATAAGGTCATGCACAGTCGATACAACCAGCATTAAAAGCCATTTAGAAATGTTATAGAAACACGTTCAGCAGCGTTCGGATCTATGCGTAGATTCGAAAATTTTCGTAGATGACGGATCATAATAAACTAATCAAATGATGGAAGTGCTGCGACACACAAAATGCCTAGTTTGAGGTCGCGCAAAAAAGTCTTGTTGTACGATTCTGCGTTGGAATGTAGTGATATTTGAATACATCGTAGTGCTATATTGAAACACACATAAGGATATACGGTGTGAAGTTATAGAACTGGTTCAAATAAGGTTTTGAGAATTTTTTAGAAATAAGTGCAAAAAACAAGGGAATAAAGGAGATGAAGCGGAGATCTTTCGGAGATTTATAGCTGAGATGCAAAAGTCAAGCAAAGACGGCGAATGTTGAAAGCTCATCGTCGTTACACGAGCGAACTCTTTGACGAGCCCTGAGGAGTCGTATAGTTCATTTGTGGTTCGGCCGGGCTGAACGTCACTCTGTCGGGACTTCGGCCACCTTTACGTTCCCGGCGCAGCGAGCTTCGCATACCGTGGGGAATTCCCGGAAGCTCATCCGGGTACTTGCTATAGTACAATCTGAAAAAGCTCCCACGTAGAGAACAAAACGTCGTTTTCCAAAGAAAGTTGTACAATCAATCAAATGCAAATTTAGATGAATAATATAAGACGCTTATAAATATGCATTATGAACTGTAATTGCAAAGTAGAAGGAAAGCTCACTCAAGTTCCGAAAATTTCCATTAACAATATCACCTGTTAATCAAGTGTTTATATGTTATTGCCTTCAAAAATCTATATAAACAAGATGCTGCTACTGCAATCATTCAAAATCATCAATCATTCAATCAACAAGATGCCTAAACAATTTGACCTAAGCTTTCTTTCCAGCTGAGAACATGAACGAGGAGAAGAAGAGCGAGAAAATAAGCGATATGCTAGATACCTACCGTTCAATGTCTTCGGCGGCTGAGTGTGGCCGTACTTCATTCTTCTGTTCTCGTTTTAACTTCTCGATTTTCCATGGAAATTGAACGTCATATGGCTCAGGTGCGAAGAAATCGAGACTACAATGGAACAAAAATAATTGGGTCTTTTGTGACACATTCGCAAGATAGAGGATTGATATTAATGCGCACGTACTAAAAAAGAATTTGATGTTTCAATTTCCAAGAAAATATAGAACATTATGCAAACATCAAAACCATCATGAACTTGTTGACGTGGAATATATTCTGCTGAAATCTGTAATTTGTCGCCAATAACACAAACTTTCCTGGTTTACAATGGCATAATTCTGAGTTTCTAGATCCAGTGGGATGTAGCTCTTTCACTTTCCTCGTAAAGGTTCGCATTTCATAGTGTAAAAAGATTGAACGAACGGTATTTGTCGAGCTGGACACAATGGCGCTCATGAGTGCTTCGATGGTGTTTGCAGCTGCCGCCAAGGCGTTAAAGATTTAGGGAGACGCAGATTTTGAATAACTCGCAAATATGGTGAAAAACGCTTTTTAGGTGAATTTTCTACCAGACGTGTTTTTGAAGTTATGAATGGTTTTATTATGTCACGACTAAACCTGATGCATAGCTAGATTTGAAGGTTATCGGCAGTTTTCGGAAAACCAGACTGAAGTTTGCCAATTTTTTGAATGATTTTCTTGAAACAAGGATATAGTCTATAACACCACAGTATTCGTCATTGCCTGTAGTAACACCTGTAGTTCACCACCGACTTGTATATACGCCACTAAGCTTTTCATTTTTTCTGTCGTGTATAAAGCCGGCTCAGTGAATTCTGCTCGCGTCAAAACATTGTTAAGCATAATAATTTTTATCCAAATCCCCGTGTTCCAATTTTTCAAAATTTCCCAAAATCATATCACTTACACCTCCCCCCACCAATTGTTGCTTAGAAGAACTATGTTGAAACACCTGATTTTTCACACTCTGGCGCAAACCACAGTGTCTCTGAGTTTTGGTTGCTGACATGGTTGAGATCCTTGGATTCTCTCTGTCACTTATAAGATAGGACGTACTTCCAGTACCTCACATTTGAATGCGATTACGCTAGCTCTGAGAGTTCTTTCACTCTGATAAAATAGTTGAGAGCCCCGACACGTATGCTAAAGCAGAAAAAGCTGCGTAGTTAAAAAATTGGGAATGCATCGTGTGTTCCAAGTCTTTTTAACTCATTCACGGCGCTCCAAAAAGCTTTGCAATCACCTCGTTTTCTCCTTTCCAGCTCTGGAGCAAGTCGAGGCTAAAATATAATATAGCTACACTGTTTGGTGATATTTGTTTGGTTAAGCGTAAATGGAACATCAGAAACAAATTC